CTCCTTTTCTTTCTCCGTCTCAGCATAATTCTGGCCCCGGTAATATTATCAAAATGTGTCATCTTGGTTGGTAAGAAAGGCGCCCGGAGGTATTCAACATAGGGACCGGCTCCGTCGATGACAAAAACACAAGTTGTCATGTCAGTCTAGTTACGTGTCCGTGGCTGTGTTGGTGTTCATTGTCACACACACACACACACACACACACACACACACACACACACTGAAATGAGAGGATGTATCCGTTCGTGTTCAGGAAGTCTAACAACAAAACAGTATTGTAACTGTTTCTGGTGACCTCAACTACTTGCTGCCCCCACCACCACCACCACCACCACTTCACAGCCACCTTCACCCTACACTAGCTCCCAGGACGCTTCCACCATCCTGCTCCACTTCCACTCTTCCTTCTTCCACTCTCCTCCTCTTCTTTCCTCACTCCTCTCTCCCCTTTTCTGTCTCTTACTTCTTCCCCATCCCTTCTTTTCTCTTCCCATCCTCTGCTTCTTCTACCCCCCCCCACCTTCTCTCTCTCTCTCTCTCTCTCTCTCTCTCTCTCTCTCTCTCTCTTTTTATCTCTCCCTTCTACCCTCTCCTCCCCTTTTCTCCTCCTTCGCATTCCACCACGACGCCCTGCCCTGGACGCCACACACCGGGTAACGCATGTGTGTGTGTCGGAAGTACCAGGTCAGCCAGCGCCGGCCCCCCTGACCACACGGAGGGAAATATTGCGGTTTTCGAGGTAGCGGTAACGGGACAGATAGTTAGTCGGGCGGTAACGGGATGGATGGTTGGTCGGGCGGTATGGTGCCGTGAGAGGGAGGAGCTGGTCGTATGGGTGGATGGTTGCGTATAAGGGATGGTTGAGTAAGGGGGCTGGTCGAAGAGGTGGTGTTGTCGCATAGGTAGGGTAGTCACACCAGTAGAATAGGGAGTGTATGTATGTATGTATGTATCCACCACCATCAGCAGTTCTTTCATTCCCTGTCTGTCACTTGGGCCCTCGACTACGACTCAGTTTTGGAGTGCCGGCGCCTGAACAACCATTAGTAACCGGTAGTCGAGGTGGGGAGGTGTTTTACGGCCGGAAATAACAAGTTTGTCTGTCTGGGGCGATAATGACAACACATTCTAGTTGAGAAGGAAGAAGGCGTGTAATGGTGCGGTTACGAAGGCGGAACAAGGGAGAAGAGGAGAGTAGAGGGAGGGGAGAGGAAGGGAGAAGAAGGGGAGAGGAAGGAAGATTTGCAACTTATATCTCACTTATATTAAAAGTATTTAGCATAAACTCACTATTAATATCTCGCCCCTTACGGCAAAGTGTTAATAAAGTGGAAGAGTCACCCATACAGATCCGTTTTCTATCGTAAGTTACCTGGTAGCTCTAGCCACCAATCAGGATTCAGGGGCAGAGGTCATGTGATCACAACACCGCTCTTGATTGGACGATTAACAGCTTGCCGTGTCACTTAATTCTTCGTAGTGTATCCGTGACATACCGCAGATCTAAGTGGTAATGTTTATCATCTATAATCGCGGTGGAGACGTGTTTTGATCTTTTTAATAATGCTTGAACAAACAGTTATGGGATTTAAGAGACGGAATCCGGGTCAGAGGTCGCGAGATGCCAGAGTCGTAATAGGTGACGGTGTGGAGCTCATGAGGGCGTGATGTAGATTGATGTGAGAGTGTGTAAGGACAGTGAACCAGCCGCTACAATCCTCTCCACTTCCCTCCTGCCTTTACCCCCTCCACCTCCCTTCTCCACCTTTCATCCTCTCCTCCCTTCCCATTCCCCTTTCTTCCCTCTTCCCTCCCGCCACCTCCTCACAGCTATCAACACCTTAGTCCCCCGATGATACAGTAGACACAGCCACATATTAACCAGGTATTGGGGGAACATGATCCACTTTGAGCTACATGACTCTCTCTCTCTCTCTCTCTCTCTCTCTCTCTCTCTCTCTCTCTCTCTCTCTCTCTCTCTCTCTCTCTCTCTCTCTCTCTCTCTCTCTCTCTCTCTTAAAGGATACATATTTTAAAACACCGTGAGAACAGAAACACGCCCTGGGGACCTCCATGCATGCATACGTACTCTTACCTGATGGCGGTTACCTGAAGGCAGTGGGCGGGTGTGCTCAATTAGGTACAGGAAACGCAACATTACTGTACCTGTCAAGGGGGTCAGGGCAAGAAGATGCTCGCTGGTGGGTGGGTGGGTGTGCAGAGAGAGAGATGGTGGGTGTTTTACTGAGAGATGGAAGTGAAATTGAATGGGTGTAGGGGAATTGGGTGGAGTGTTTTACTGAGAGAGAGAGAGATGGGGTGGGTGGGGACTAATCAATGATAACTGTTCGTTTTGCTTTCCTTTGAGTTTCGTCTCTGACATGAAAACCAGCTACATACCCACCCCAGCATACCCACTATATACCACTAACATACCCCGACCTTACCCACACCCCAACATATACCCCCCCAACCTTACACCCCGACCTTTTGACATACCCCACTGACATACCACCCCCAACATACCCGGCACTTCCCACCCCGACATACCCACCCCAACATACCCACCCCAACATACCCTTAAATCACTCACATACACAGCCATTACATATTCTTAACTCTGACTACTGATACAAGCTACACCAAATAAATCAATAAATTCTAACTCGCAAAAAAAAATAAAAAAATTAATGAAGCGTTACAACAGGTAAGAGAATTTCAATTAACGCTTTTTTATTATATTATACTTTTCATTAAGATACCTGTTATTAGATTAGTCACGCTGTATTGATCTTGATTTACGAGGAGTGAGGTAGGGGGAGGAGAGGGGGAGGGGGTAGGTGGTCAGAGGTATTCATTGTTTTGAAAAAGTTTGATACAGTTGGGAATCTTTTAAGATGTCGAGTTTTCTTCACAATCAAGGTCGGTGAATTGATGTTCTTGCTTGCTTCCGTCTGATTATTCACCTTTAATCGGATTTTTGCATTGAAGGAGATAATTCTGTGGGTGTTTAGTTTTTATGTTTGTTTGTGTTTTCGATTGAGATTTGAGGTTAATGGTGTGGGTGTTTAAGTACTTGTTTGTGATTGTTTTGTAGGTAACTCAGGTATGTATCGTTAAAATGCTAACACGAAGAATCATATGGGGGTTATACGATCCAGCCTCACTGATGACCTGAAGGAACTATCGTCTGTTTGTAGTGTAGGTCTGTGAATGGTAGTTAGTTATGAGTGTATCTATATTACGTCACTTCAGTTCTTCTACCGTGACCTGACCTGATCTGACTGACTCACATCATCCATCAGTGAGTCCTAGGCCACCATGAGTCAACTTAAGCACGGAATTCCCTCTCCTAGCGACAATAAGGCTCGTTCACTAGCTTTCTCATTGTAAATTTACGCGGGAAAACGAGTCTGTGAGATGAGTCATTGTTACCAACACCCTGCTTTAGTACAACCTTACGTGGGATTTTTGTTTTTCTATTCGGTGTAAATATCATATTGTTACCAAACTGGATACAAGAACTGATGTTTTATGATATATTGTTGAGCTCAGGGAAGACGATACAGGTTTTTAATGAAAGTTGAATGTTTTTATGGGATCAAAGGAGCATCTTCACACTTCGGAATGTCAATAGTATTCACCGGTACGTCCAAGCGAGCGTCTGAATTGATCACTTTCGATTTTATGACTATTTTTAAAAGCTTTCCTCGACATACAATTTAAAATAAGAATCTGCCTCGTCAGAAATCCCCTCGAGGCGAACCCACCGACTAGAACGATGTAGTCTGAGGTAAACACACGCTGACGAAGGAGTGTTTTCTCTTAACTCAAGGTGTGAGAGCGTTTAATTAACTTACCTGAGCTACGATACGAAGATTAATAAGTAAGATCTGTGTCAAAATTGCACTAACTTTGTATACGTGGGTTTGTGCTTTCTCTTCACACGTGATTAAAGGAAAAAATAGTAACTTAACGTACTATACGAACCATTATGGACCCAAAGGACGAAAGAGCTCCAATACGTGTTCCAGGAAGGCTTTCGGTGACCCTATTGAGAGTGTGGGGGGTGGGGGGGGGGGTAAGGTTGGGAGAGGGGTGCAAAAAGTGACTCTCCCGCCCGTCGTGTAATAGGCTTCGATTTCACGGCTTCTCGAGTTAGTAAATAATCCGATCCTTCATGACTTTGGAACAGTGATGCTCTTTTTTTTGTCTAAACTCTTTAAATGTTTGCCTCAAGACGTGTAGAGACGAGAGGAGATTGTCTTGGTTTTTCGACGAGTTTCCGAGGCTGCCGTTATCTCTCTCTCTCTCGCTCTCCAGATACTAATAAACAAGGTTCTGAGAGAGAGAGAGAGATTAATGTCAAAGGAGATCGATGGTGTAGTAATCTTAGTGAATTATATATCTATCGAGGCAAAATTATTCCCTCTTACGTTCTTTTCTATTTCGTAATATAAACGTTTAACCTCTCATCCTCGCTGGGTAGATCAAGTACAAACAAACCTCACAATAATATAAGTTCACTTTTAAACGTTATTTGTTGATTTAAGTGAGTGTGTTGGGCGGCCATAGATGAGAGGGAAACAGTAAACAAAGTATGAGCCTCAGCCGCCTGGAGCAGCTCACGAGGACGCCATTTAACAGTAAACAAGAGAAACTCATTTGTCAGGTATCATGGGTGTTGTGTGTGAGGGAGGCGGCCCAGCAGGTCAGAGAACACCATAGAGAGAGCCTGAGGGAGGGTTTTACGGGCACCCCATCTGTCAGGTTCTCAAAAATTCCTATGTTAACTTAATTCCTTACCTCTTGTGAATCTTTCTCACTTGTGTACATATCTTTGTTGTATTATCTCTCTCTCTCTCTCTCTCTCTCTCTCTCTCTCTCTCTCTCTCTCTCTCTCTCTCTCTCTCTCTCTCTCTCTCTCTCTCTCTCTCTCTCAATTCATTGGAGTATTAGTGTGTATTAACCAACCCCGTCTTACTCGTCTTCTACAGGTCTGCCAATTTCAACAACGCGACTGGTGAGTGTTCAACCTCCGACATGGACCGACACACAGCAGTAGGGACGGGCGCCTTCCAATCAGCAGTCAACAGCGATTTCCTGGAGAACAACTGCGTCGATGATCCCGTCAGGCTGTGTGAGTTCCAGAAGATGGAGGGCCGAATCCTGAAAACCGTCGACTCCGTGTACCAGGACGTCGATGGACTTGAAGACTGCAAGAGACTGTGCCTCACCACCTCCTTCAGGTGGGTACTGGATATACTTGTTGTGTGATATTTTGTATAGTATTTTTATTCTCGCCGTAACAATGTGATCACTATATGTTGTTGTGTATATCAGGATCACTGCTACTGTTTTAGTGTCTGTTTCTATTGCTGTTACCAACGTTTGTTTAGATGCTACTACTACTAGTAAAGCTACTGCCTTCTAGTTCCTCCCGTACTTCTTTTTCGTCACCGACAGTAGTAGCTGGTCAGTTTTCACATGACTCATAATTAAAATCTCGTCTCTGGTGCCACAGGTGCCACTCCTTCGACTTCGGCGACACTGGTGACCGAGTGTGCCGCCTCTCCCACCACGCCGCCGCCACCCTCACCCACATTGAAGAACCTTACCTGGAGATCCCCGGCTCCTCCACCTACGAACTCTCCTCCTGCTACAACGTCACCATCGACTGTCGCTCCGGTGATATGGTCGCCAAGATCAAGACCTCCAAGATCTTTAACGGCAAGATCTACGCCAAGGGCTCCCCCAACACCTGCGTCAGCGACATCGAGGACGCCCTGGAATTCGAGCTAAGGATGTCCTACAACGACATTGACTGTAATGTTGAGCGAGACTCCGCCTCCAAGTACAGCAGTGACGTCGTCATCCAGCACCACGACATGATCGTGACCTCAGCTGACCTGGGTCTCAGCGTCCACTGCCAGTACGACTTGACCAACAAGAGCGTGAGTAACCGAGTCGACCTGACCGTCGAAGGAGACATCAAGCCCGCACTCGAGGAGGGAAGTACTGTCGACTCTCCCAACGTCATCATGCGTGTCGCCAACCGCAATGGTGATGACATCTCTGACGCGGCCGTGGGAGACATGTTGCAGCTGCGCTTTGAGATCGTCGACAGGAACTCACCCTATGAGATCTTCGTACGTGACCTGGTAGCCATGGACGGCAGCAACACCAACAACATCACTCTCCTGGACGGCCGCGGCTGCCCCACCGAGATCTCCATCATGAGGCCCCTCCTCAAGACTGACAACACTGGCAAGGTAAACCATATATTTATACCACCCATATATGTTATTGAATCTATCTACATATAAGATGCTGTCTTGTCTGACTATATTTCTATATTCAATAGTAACACTCGTCAAAAATCCTGACATATAGCATAACTCCACAACCTAATGATTCATCGTTTGTTTCAATCAGGTTTTGGGCGCCTCCTTCGACGCCTTCAAGTTCCCAACGAGCGACGTGGTCCAGTTCAGAGCTCTGGTGACTCCCTGCCTCCCCACCTGCGAGCCCGTTGTGTGTGACGTCCTTGATTTTGGCGGCCAGATGAAACAGGCTGAGAGCTACGGCAGAAAGAAGAGGGATTTGTCTTCCTTTGACGACTTCGGCGTCTCCATCTTCACCCCACAATTCCAGTCTGACTCCGCTTCCCTGGTGACGGTAAGAATAGTCGTCAGGATATTTCCCCATAATAAAGTTGCATATTATCTTGTCCAGAGTCCAGTTGATATACCAGTCGTAATAGCGAAGGAAAATTATTTTGAATGGCAGTAATGTTAGACGATCGCCCCTTCGCCCACAGATGATACAGAAGAACCCCTACACCGTGGACATCACTGCCCGTACCCTCTCAGGCAACTACCTCGACAGCTCCGTCAGCCGCTTCAGGAGGGAAGCCCCTGAACAAGTGATCCCTGAGGAGCTGTTAGTCGTCCAGTCCATCAAGATCTCCGACAAGTTTGGTTTCCGCGGAGCACAAGCTCAGAGAAGCAACAAACCCTCCAAGAACTTCAAGAAGGAGACCAACACTGTAAGTTTTATCATCTTTTACCATAAGTTAGTTTACCGTTATATTTACTTATCATAGAGGAAAATGTTTATCAGTGTTTCTCAAGTATTTATCCTTATTTTTCATTATCGGTTTATTTTGCATGGCGGAAAGGGGTCGATATTACCTCATAACACACAAGAAGTAAAAATAATGACTGATATCAGTGTTGTGTTATCTCCCGCAGTGTTGCTGGGGGATTTACATAGGACAGTGCTCAGGTGTTAGTAAAGATGTGACAATGATGGAAATGTTTCTTCTTCTCCCAGGTTGAAGGAGACACAGAGATCGTACTGCAGGAGGATGTGTCGGGGATGTGCATCAACATGGTGGGTCTGGTGCTGGCGTGCTCCGTGTTCCTGGTGGCGCAGCTGGTCATCATCGTGGCGTGGACGGCTGTGTGGCATCGTCGCCGCAGGAGCAAGCTGGAGGAGCCCCTCAGTCCTGCCACCACCACCGAGTCCCTCCGTCAGCTCTACGACTCCGGTTATCCCCGCAGGATCTAGCTCCTCCCCGCTCGTGCCGCCCATATGCTTACAGGCGCCCTTCGTCCCGTCCTCACCGCTTCGTTCAGAAGAGGGACTACTGAGGTGAACATGAGGGACGCCCGTAAAATGGACAACCGACCTTCTCGTGCCCTTCATTCCCGACAACGTCCTGTTCATGTTCGCCAGGAATCTCTTTATCCTATTGAGATCCTATAGACCAGGAACGAGACGGGTTGTCAGCTGGGAGACAAGGACTCGACCTCTTGGCTTAAGGAACTGTGTGAAATAGACGAAGGAAATTGGTAGCTCCTGACAATGTCCTGAAAACTTCGTCCCGCCGACCTTGGTAACGTCGGGGCGGAAGACTGGTGCAATATTGCAGAATCAAATTGCAATCACTGTTTGAGGGACCATTCAGCCCCTCGATCAGGTGGCCGAGCGGCTTCACTCGATAATTGTTAATGAAGACGCCGATTCATCTCGAAATAGCGAGCTTCCTCTTGGACATGTCTCAACCCTACCTCCAGAAGAGTGGCATTTGACGAAAGCACAAGAAGGTGATCAACTGGGCATTTGCAATTTGATCTCTAAATTAGAGGCATCCCATTGTGAAACTCTCGAAGGCTATTACCAAGGGCATTAAACCTGACTTATCATAGGACACTCTCAATTAATAACTTAGCGATAAGGTTGTGTTTCTTAGTAATAATGAACTATGTGACCGCAGTGTCTGTGCGACTTAACACATTGTGATAACTGACGTAACTTTTATGAGAAAGTCGGACTGAACCAAAACTTTTAGTGACTGTGTCGATCTTCGTGACGTGTTGATATCAAGACTTCGATTCCTCTCTCTGAGTCCTACTGCAGATCCTGACTTGCAGGCGACTGGTGGTGGTGCTTTAGGGGGACTCCTGGGAGGGCGAGGGAGAGGCCACACGTCGACCACGGGGCGCTCTGGTTAAACCAAGAAATATTTGCGTTTTAATTTGGTTTTAATTTGGAACCTTTTACTTTAAAGATTAATTTTGTACATAATAAAAAGTGATTCCTATTAAATACTCAGATAAACATACGTAAGACTAAATCAAAGTTGCAAATACCGAATGTAAAGAAGAAGTTTGATCATTTCTCCTCTTGTGTTTGACCACCTGAGGCCTGCTACACGAGGCGACCAGACCCCCCTCTCCTCCCTTCGTGCTTTAGGGTGCTGGGACAAGGGATAACTCATCCATAGTTAGGAGCAAGATAGAAAACAGGCACAACAAATACAACCTTTTTCCCCCCCATCAAAAACTACAGCTCAGATTTCCAGTTGGGACCTTGTAAATGTGTTAATTATTTTGTATGTATGAATGAATGACCGAGAAACCCCCTCCCCTTTAGGATAGTTAGAACGATACACCGATCATGTAGGTAATGTTCGCTGTAGATATCGCTACTTTGCTGTTGTAGAAGTGACAATTAGTGACAGTCAAAGTCGGATTACTCGTCTCTGACTCTGGAGGACTGAGCGCGAGAGAAGCATCTGTGTTCATCGTCTTGCACCTGAGTGAGCTGAACACATGCAGGTGATAATGAGAAAGACGAGTACCTGTTTGGTGATCACTGTCGCAGGTGGTCACTGTTTTAGGTGATCACTGTTTCACGAGGTCACTGTCGCTGGTAGTCACTGTTTCAGGAAGTCACTGTCGCTGTTGTAGTCATGCTATATTTGCTCAAGATAAACTCCCCGCATGGCAGCTGCTGTAGGTAACCGCTTGTAGATGACATGAGGACACCCCACCTCCACTGCTCCGCCTAAAACAACATCTCAGAGGCTGACTTGCAACTCCTGTCAACACTCTCACTGCATAGAAAGAGAACATACTTGTAAAACCTTTGTCAGATTCCTTTGTTGACCTTAGTCTGTCTATCTGCATGAAGATGATTGACTAGTTGAGTGTTGTCTGCCGCCCATAGCATGGTGGGGGTGTTAGGTCTTATAAACCACTCCCTATGTTCTTGCATGTACAAAACTTTAGAATCGAATTAAGTTCCATTTGCATATCATTATAATATCTTATTAAATGAAACCTCTTCATTTAACGCTCCTTAAAGATTAATGTAAAAGTTATTTGAATGTTAATATGTAATTATTAGTTTATTGAGTTTGTTAGTTTATGTTTTCTTAGTTTTTAGGAGTTGTTATGAAGATGTTTAACTAACTTGCCATTAACTTCATTGTTTACTAACAAATTGTGTTTGCTTATTACCAATTAATGCTTACTAACAATTAGTTGCTTGCTTATTAACAATCTATGCCTGCCTAACAAATAATTATTGATTGCTCATTAACAATTAGTGCTTGCTTCCTTACCATTAGTGATTACTTAAGTTTGCTTATCACAGTTTGTGTTGTTTGTTTACCATTAACATTTGCTTACTAACCACTAACAATGTTTGCTTGTTTAATGCATGATAATTAACCCAGCTTACTTGCATGTAAACTACGCTTGCTTATTAACAAATAACGCCAAGTAACAGAGTCAATCCTCGCTTACAATTAACGCTTGCGTGTACTCTAACACACGCTTAACGCTAACAAAAGCTTACTAACAACCACCACATAGCTTAAACAGTAGCCAGCACCCAAGCTTCAGATTTTCAAAACCATTCATAGGTGAAAATGACGCCTTTTGAGCCTTCCCGTATAGTCTCAAGTCAATTTCAGAGCCTTAACAGTGAGCTAAGTAGTTATATTCTCTCACCACCACATGAGAAATTTTTTTAACCTGTGAGCTATTGAGAATCTGTAGCATGTAAACAAACCTCATAGTTACCATTAAGATAGTACTGGAACCTGTTACCGCCTCGTCTGGTGACTCTATACATAGGGGCCATGTTATTGTGTTTAAGTTACTTAGTTTTGATGATTATGAAAATTCCTCATTCACTTATAACCTGACGTGGCTGGTTGAGGTTCATTCCTTAGTGTGTGTGTGTCGATGCCATTAGATGCTTTTCAAATGCAAAGAAAAATGTTTTAGAAAACTAGAATATTTTTTTATGCTTTGAATTAAATTATTTACTATTGGTCCCAACATGTAACTCAGCTGTATGATAAAACATTTAAACTTCACACAGGGAATTATTTATTTATTTATTTATTTATTTATTGACATAACTTAATAAAAAAAGATATATTTACTTAACTTATTGTTGATACTGTAAGAAGAATCAAGTTAAGAGTTATTTAAGTAAAACAAAACAGTTGTAATTTAAGTAACACCAAACAGTAGTAAGTTAAGTAATATATACCATACACCCTAAATCATTCTACCTATACGTATATACATACTCTCTCTCTCTCTCTCTCTCTCTCTCTCTCTCTCTCTCTCTCTCTCTCTCTCTCTCTCTCTCTCTCTCTCTCTCTCTCTCTCTCTGTGTAGGTTTTTATATTGTAAACATAACAAGTTGCCAAGAATTCCAGACTATTAATATGTGCTTTTTCGTTTACTTAGATGCGAGTTGACTTGTGAGAATGAAAAGAGATAAATTACCAGGGTGTATGAGTGTATGGAATGCTTTTTTTTATGGTAGTTGCAATCACACTCAAGAGCTTCCAGTGAGTGCTTGTATGATTACTATTGTAGATTAAGAAACTTTACGTGTGTGTATGTGTGATTGTATGTATGTGTATTTATATAACATTAAAGGAACGACAATGAAGGTTATTTGTGTGCGTTATTATTCTTTGTTGTTGTTGTTGTTGTTATTAACCCCTATCTCGTGGCATTATTACCGTGTGTATCTCATTCCACTCCCTTCCATTTTATGCAATTTAGTGAGTAAGTGTTTTGTGTCTAAGTGTTAATTTGTACCAAAGTATACAAATAAATGATTAAAAAAAATATTGGTTGTTATTTTTTTGACGATGATTTTTCGGTCTGTTTGGTGTTATTTTTTTGTCAGTGATTTTTATGTCCATTGTTATTTAAGTGATTTGTGGTTTTTTTATGCTGGCTAATTCGTGATTGGTGATCTGTTGGGTGTATAGTGAATAATGGATAATACAAGTGAAAGAGAGAGAAATAGTGAGAGAGAAAGAGATGGAGAGAAAACAGGGAGAAATAAATAGTGAGAGAGAGAGAGAGAGAGAGAGAGAGAGAGAGAGAGAGAGATACATGCAAACACATATACATACATTATTTTGATTCATAGATTCATCCAAAAATGAATAATTAGAAAACGTATAAACCAAAAACAGAAAAATTAACGTGTGTGTGTGTGTGTGTGTGTGTGTGTGTGTGTGTGTGTGTGTGTGTGTGTGTGTGTGTGTGCGCGTGAGAGTGTGTGTGTGTGTGTGTGTAATAATAATACTCAAATAATAATAATAATTAACAATTTATTGAAAAAGTTCTGCAGCCCGCAGGCTGAAAATATACATTGGACAAAAATTACTTATTACATGGGGTGGGTGGGTCGTTTAACAAAAGCTTTCATTACTGAAAGGAGAAGGAACATGAATTGAACAAACAAATTATTATAGTTTACAGTTGATGGCCCGAGCCTGGGCTGGTCATGGAGACACCAGGTGGTGAGGTGTTCACGTGGTGTAGTAACTCGTTCTCGGGTCTTGATATGAAGGACCTCACGTGGTCATGGGGACACCGGGTGGTGTGGTGTTCACGTGGTGTAGTAACTCGTTCTCGGGTGTTGATATGAAGGACCTCACGTGGTCATGGGGACACCGGGTGGTGTGGTGTTCACGTGGTGCAGTAACTCGTCCTAGGGTGTTAATATGAAGGACCTTACGTGGTCATGGGGACACCGGGTGGTGTGGTGTTCGTGGTGTAGTAACTCGTCCCGGGTGTTGATATGAAGGACCTCACGTGGTCATGGGACACCAGTGGTGTGGTGTTCACGTGGTGTAGTAACTCGTCCTCAGGTGTTGATATGAAGGACCTCACGTGGTCATGGGGACACCAGGTGGTGTGGTGTTCACGTGGTGTAGTAACTCGTCCTCAGGTGTTGATATGAAGGACCTCACGTGGTCATTGAGACACCAGGTGGTGTGGTGTTCACGTGGTGTAGTAACTCGTCCTCAGGTGTTGATATGAAGGACCTCACGTGGTCATGGGGACACCAGGTGGTGTGGTGTTCACGTGGTGTAGTAACTCGTCCTGGGTGTTGAAATGAAGGACCTCACGTGGTCATGGAGACACCGGGTGGTGTGGTGTTCACGTGGTGTAGTAACTCGTCCTAGGGTGTTGATATGAAGGACCTTACGTGGTCATGGAGACACCAGGTGGTGTGGTGTTCACGTGGTGTAGTAACTCGTCCTAGGGTGTTGATATGAAGGACCTCACGTGGTCATGGGGACACCAGGTGGTGTGGTGTTCACGTGGTGTAGTAACTCGTCCTCGGGTGTTGATATGAAGGCGGTCAGACACCAGGTGGTGTGGTGTTCACAGGTGTAGTGTTCACGTGGTGTAGTAACTCTGATCCTAGGGTGTTGATATGAAGGACCTTACGTGGTCATGGGGACACCAGGTGGTGTAATTGTTCACATTGGTGTGGTAACTCGTCCTCGGGTGTTGATATGAGGGACCTCACGTGGTCATGGGGACACCGGGTGGTGTGGTGTTCACATGGGACAGTAACTCGTCCTCAGGTGTTGATATGAAGGACCTCACGTGGTCATGGAGACACCGGGTGGTGTGGTGTTCACGTGGCGTATTAACTCATTCTCGGGTGTTAATATGAAGAACCTCACATGGTCATGGAGACACCGGGCGGTGTGGTGTTCACGTGGTACAGTAACTCGTCCTCAGGTGTTGATATGAAGGACCTCACATGGTCATGGAGACACCGGGTGGTGTGGTGTTCACGTGGTGTAGTAACTCATTCTCGGGTGTTGATACGATGGACCTCACGTGGTCATGGGGACACCGGGTGGTGTGGTGTTCACGTGGTACAGTAACTCGGCCTCAGGTGTTGATATGAAGGACCTCACGTGGTCATGGGGACACTGGGTGGTGTGGTGTTCACGTGGTGTAGTAAATCATCCTCAGGTGTTGATATGAAGGACCTCACATGGTCATGGGGACACCAAGTGGTGAGGTGTTCACGTGGTACAGTAACTCGTCCTCGGGTGTTGATACGAAGGACCTCACGTGGTCATGGGGACACCGGGTGGTGTGGTGTTCACGTGGTGTAGTAACTCGTCCTCAGGTGATGAAGGACCTCACGTAGTGTGGGGACACCGGGTGGTGTGAATTGTTCACGTGGTTAGTAACTCGTCCTAGGGTGTTGATATGAAGGACCTCACGTGGTCATAGGGACACCGGGTGGTGTGGTGTTCACGTGGTGTAGTAACTCGTCCTCGGGTGTTGATATGAAGGACCTCACGTGGTCATGGGGACACCGGGTGGTGTGAATTGTTCGTGGTGCAATAACTCGTCCTAGGGTGTTGATATGAAGGACCTCACGTGGTCATGGGGACACCGGGTGGTGTGGTGTTCACGTGGTGTAGTAACTCGTCCTAGGGTGTTGATATGAAGGACCTTACGTGGTCATGGGGACACCGCGTGGTGTGGTGTTCACGTGGTGTAGTAACTCGTCCTAGGGTGTTGATATGAAGGACCTTACGTGGTCATGGGGACACCGGGTGGTGTGGGGTGGTGTTCACAGCACCTCGCCCTGCTAGGTGGTGTTGTGTTATCTCGTAGTCAGGTGTGAAGCCGACTCACTGTTGTTCCCAGGGTGGACTGATTACCACCCTGTCAGAAGATGGCGGTCAGTTCCCAGGGGTGCTTATCTCACTGGTGGGTCACGGCTCTCACTGGTACTGTCTAGTGCTGAATTCACTGGCTGAAACACCGTTCAACACTGGTCCCACTTCTTTCCGAAACGAAATTGTCACTTTTGATTATGTTGATATCCCGGTGGTGAGGATGGGTCGGGGAGAGGCACTTGGGGAATGGCCGAACATTGGCCGAAGGGAGCAGCGCCTGAATAGCTCTTGACCCTACGGTGTGTGTGTGTGTGTGTGTGTGTGTGTGTGTGTCTTTTGTTGATTTATTTTGAAGAAACAAATAGGAAATAAAAATAGTCTCCGAAGATAAACAAAAGACTAAAAGACCAGCATATCCCAACACACTCGTTCTTGTACTCAACCTCCAACACACTCGTTCTTGTACTTACCCTCCAACACACTCGTTCTTGTACTTACCCTCCAACACACTCGTTCTTGTACTCAACCTCTAACACACTCGTTCTTGTACTCAACCTCCAACACACTCGTTCTTGTGCTTACCCTCCAACACACTCGTTCTTAACCTCCAATACACTCGTTCTTGTACTTACCCTCCAACACCTCGTTCTTGTACTTACCCTCCAACACACTCGTTCTTGTACTTACAAACCTTTACTCGTTCTTGTACTTACCCTCAACACACTCGTTCTTGTACTTACCCTCCAGCACACTCGTTCTTGCCCCACCTCCAACACACTCGTTCTTGCTCAACCTCCTAACACACTCGTTCTTTTGTACTCAACACCTCCAACACACTCGTTCTTGTGCTTACCCTCCAACACACTCGTTCTTGTACTCAACCTCTAACACACTCGTTCTTGTACTCAACCTCCAACACACTCGTTCTTGTGCTTACCCTCCAACACACTCGTTCTTGTGCTTACCCTCCAACACACTCGTTCTTGTACTCAACCTCTAACACACTCGTTCTTGTACTCAACCTCCAACACACTCGTTCTTGTGCTTACCCTCCAACACACTCGTTCTTGTGCTTACCCTCCAACACACTCGTTCTTGTACTCAACCTCTAACACACTCGTTCTTGTACTCAACCTCTAACACACTCGTTCTTGTACTCAACCTCCAACACACTCGTTTTTGTGCTTACCCTCCAACACACTCGTTCTTGTACTCAACCTCTAACACACTCGTTCTTGTACTCAATCTCTAACACTCGTTCTTGTACTCAATCTCACTAGGAACTAACTCACTCACTTCGTCTCTAAACCTGTGTCATCTCTATACACCTGTCACCACCTCTACACACCTGTCACCACCTCCACACACCTGTCACCACCTCTACACACCTGTCATCACCTCTATACACCTACCAGTCACTTTCTACATCTGTCAAAATCTCTGAAGCAGGTAACTTGTGGTATTTTAACTAATAAGTGAGATAAATGATGCAGTTTTAATGTAGAATTAGGGAAAATTGACTTAATATTGAAGGAATTGGATCAAATATCAAAATCAGGGTAAAATCTCAACATCTATAGAAACGTGGAATCGAAAACAAAAAACAAATGACGATCAAAACATAAACACAAACCTCCACAACTTTTATCTCCTTATAACTCGTCTTCAAAACATTTAATGGTTTCAATAAATTATTTAAAATTTCACGTAGTACTGAAAATAATAAGATAAATGATAAAATAAACAGGAAATAATTAAAACAAATAGACAGAAGAAGTAATTAGATATTCTGAAGAAAGTATAAGTACATCAAAGTTGTATCATTAGCCATCAGAGGTCACTTCTTACGTTTATAGGTGTTTGTAGGTTAAGGTTCACAAACACGGTAGCACAGAGTCTAGGAACGGCGTCACAGTGGTGTTTGTTTGCTAATGACGCCCTTGTGTTAACTGAGGCAGATAATGAGCCATGTGTTATGGTTAGGTTAGGTGAGGGAGTATGCACAAGGGGGAATGTCAACACTGAATGCATGTAAAGATAAATGCACATCCTTGATAGTGAAGATGATGTCTTTTGTGTTAGGTAAGTTTGAAGGTTATTAGTGAGATGCTTTGTTAGGTGCTTAGGGTCACCTGTAGATTAGATACCCTAGGTTATTTCACCTAGTATTGCCTGAG